ATTTTCAATGACCACCCACTTTACACCCCCCCCCCCCTACACATTTATATTACATACAGGATGTTCGGGTCCACTGGGGCTAACAAAAGAAATTGGAAATTGTGTGTGTGTGTGTGTGTGTGTGTGTGTGTGTGTGTGTGTGTGTGTGTGTGTGTGTGCGTGTGTGCATGTGTGTGTGTTAGGGCTGTGCGATTATGGCAAAAATCATAATCGATAATTGATATCACGATTATTAAATACGATTATTCATTGACTTTGAACTTTAAAACAAATACAAATAATAATTTGAACAGTATCTTTTTAACTGTTGATTACCCTGAACGTATAATTCAACTGAAAAACCAATACAAAAATAAATAAAATAAATGATACATTTAAATAAATAATATCAAAATAATAAATACCAATAAACAAGATCAACAAATATTTTGGAGCGCACTTCCCCAAGCTACTAAACATATATAAATATGATAAATAAAAATAAATTAGATCAAATATGTTGCAGTACACTGTCACAACCTAGCAAAGCAAAATAATAGTTTTTTTCGATTATGTTGTTTTCGTAATTGTGGCAGGCCAAAATCGTAATTGCGATTAAAATACGATTAATTGCACAGCCCTAGTGTGTGTGACTTTTGTGTTTCTGCCCATTCCCGCACAAGGTTGCAACATTGTTGATAAATTCCAGCACCGACACCTGTCTGCTCTCACATTGCCGCATTATGTTTTGCGGGAACCAATCTTAATTTTTTTCCCACTCTATCCCAGCTGCAAATTTGGGGCGAGACACAATACATAAAGCTTCGCCAGTTTGGGTCCGTATCACAACTGATCAAGATGGCCAAAAGGTTCTCTGCTCAGAGGGCCTTGCAAATGATTCTGGAAGAGAGAGAACCATTTGATGATGATGTGGAGGAAGAGGAAGAGGTTTCAGAATGTGAGGATCACATTTCTGAGAATTCTGAGTCTGACAGTGACTTTGAAGAAGAGGATGAGATTGAGCATCAGCTTGTTACAAAAGAAAGACGAGCAACAGGACCAGCCGGTCAGCGGGCAAAAAAACAAGTAGCACTTTAATTCATAATGTGCAGTGATGCGTCCTAAAACCCGGAAGTAAGTTCCTTCCTTGTGATTATGCTGTGTTAGGAGTTGTTGGGAGGTGAAATGTTTACAGTGTAGTATGTGCAATCGAGAAGGTTAAATAGGGAAAGTGCATTATGTGTAAATACGTATGGACACAATAGGGATATGTGCAATTTGACGGACACTATGCATAGGTGCAATAGGGAAAGTGCAATATTTGATTTATGTATAAATAGTATACAATAGGGAAAAGTGCAATATTTGATTATGTATGAATGCAATAGGGAAAGTGCAATATTTGATTTATGTATGTGCAATAGGGAAAGTGCTGTACCTGTATGTTTCTTGTTTGTTTCTTTGCCATGTGATATGTGATCTCTGTTCTGTATCTGTGACTGATTGACCTGAATGTTTTATGTTTATTATCTCGATGCCCAAGACAAATTTCTCCTAAGGGAGACAATAAAGCTCTATCTTATCTTATCTCTTCCGGTTCCCTCGACAAAAACGCAATGCAATTTCTCCATAGGATTTTGGAAAATAGCTCGAAATAAGGTCTGTGGTTGACACACATTTAAGATAAATCTATCGATTAGATTTATGATTCGAAACAAAAACGGCTGAACAAAACGTGATCCGTCTCTTAAATGTGTTCTATTGATGAGTAAGTTCCCCCTTACTTTGCCATTGACAATCATACAGTATATGAAGAGGCTATGAGATTATTATATGCTAATGATGAATCATTTATTTGCCTAAAGTTGCTCTTGTATTTCCATTTTTAAAGCATAAATACATCTTAATCATTTGAGTTTCCACAATATTTAAGTTACCTACAGTAACTACATTTACTCAAGTTCTCTACTTAAGTACAATTTTGATGAATTTGAGTATTTCCATTTCATGCAACTTTATACTTTTCCATCACAACATTTCAGAGTTCAATATTTTCCTTTTTACCTGACATATATTTCACAGCTTTATTCACTTTTCGGATGAAAATAAGGTCACCATATACAGTACATTATGACACAGTAAATCAAATTCCCTAAAATAAAGAAATACTTGTGTTAATGTTCATATTTAAATAGTTATTTATACATTAACATGCCGCTTATATGTTAATGCTTCGTAAAATTCATGTTGGCCATTTTTGCGTTTAACTTCTGGTATCTAAAATAAACAGATATTTTAAGTACTGATTAAGCTTGTAAAATGTAAACGCAGCACTTCTAGTCAACAGAGTATTATCACACTGCAGTTATCATTGTTAACAACTCCATATTTATTGCCATAAAGTGCCATAAAAAATACTCAATGGCAGTGGTGTAACTAAGTACATTTATTAGGTACAGTACTTAAGTACAATTTTCAGGGACTTGTACTTTACTGAGTATTTACATTTTTTGCTATACTTTGTACTTCTACTCCACTATAGTTCAGAGGTTAATGGTGTACTTTTACTCCACTAAATGTATTTAATACCTTTAATTACTTTGTAGATTTTGTTTAACGGTGTGAAATATATTGCTGATTCGGGGTATAAAGTAAAAAAAAAAAAAAAGAGGGGGCGGATTAGGCAGAGGCTAAATGCTGCGGTGATGAAACGCCATATCATGTTCAAAACCACATCCAGGATTATTTCTGAAACAGTATGGAGCTCAAATGCTTTTTCTCTTGCGGGTTTACCACAAGGTGAGTTTCTTTTGATATCCTGCTTTTTACACATGCTCTCTCCAGTACAGGTTAGCTCTGAGTGTTAGTGATGCTTGCTAATGTAAACAAAGACAATATTACGTCCAAAACACGTCGGGCATTGATTCTGATAGCGACGTTTCTGATAGGGCCTTGGGTTCACCATCTGATATGATTTACGTCATATCGGATGGCAAATCTGGATCAGCTCCATTGTAACCCCGTTTTTAGAGAATTGCGCACGGAGGAAAAGAGAGAGGGTTTTATTTTCTGACACTTTGTGAGTTCCCTGACACACCGGGGAGACATATGTATGTATAAAAGACATCAACATGTGCAATTTGCATGATTGGTCCCCTTTAAATAATCTCAATCAAATAGCATTTTCTGGTACGTGGTGTTTGTATTATATTTTTTATAATTTTGTACATTGTCAATTTTTACTATGTATCTTTGTTAGCTAAAATACAGTTCTGCCAAGGAGAGCATTGCAATATAAACTCACTAACAGTGGGAAATACTTAGTGAGTAAGTAGCTCCCCCAACAATGCACACAAGACAATTTGATGCTGTCTTGTGATCAGTCTCAGGTAGGCATACCAGTTTATTTATGAATTGTACATCTAACATAGGTCCACCCCAAATAGATCAGCTTGCTGAAAGTGCTAGCCGCATTAGAATATAATATAATATAATAAGTATACTGAGAGGGCAAGGTATGTGTCAACCCTCAAAAACTGGCAAGTAATACCCTAATCATAGTATATCAGGGATGCAAACTCATCAGGTATGAAAAAGGTGACAAGGATCCGAGCCCCCCGACCCCACGGAATATCAGCTTTAAAATGAGGAATAACAGGATGTTATCAGTCAGAACAACTAAAGCAGTTAATAATAACAGAAACGCCAAAGAGTCACATCTAATAGAAATGTATAAAAGCATTTATTTTTAATTGTGTAGCAGTCAGTTTATAATTTTGGCAGGACTGTTGAGCATTTTGAAAATGTATTTTCATGCCTCTGTGCAAGGCTTAGTCTTTCTATCTTTATAGCCACTGGTGTAAAGTAACTAAGTTCATAAACTCAACAAGTACTATACTTGGGTACAATTTTGAGATACTTGTACTTTATTTAAGTATTTCAATGTTTTGCTACTTTGTTCTTCTTCTCCTCTACAGTTCAGAGGTAAATGGTGTACTTTTTTGTTAAATCAGACTTTAGTTCCACCTGGAGTAAATTCACAAGCTACCCTGCAGTATTCAAAGTCATTCAAACTAGCTGCACCTTTACCAGCTTTGAGAACACTTTCATGATCAATCATTATAAAACATGACTACTTTTTTTACGATGTTGTATTTTAGTGTTGCCTCTGTGTTTAGTGTCCTGTCTGTCTGTAACTTTGTGTGGTAGTGTTACCACTGACAGGTCTCTCTTGGAAATGAGACCTTGTGTCTCAATGAGATTTTACACCTGTATAAATAAAGGCTAAATAAAAAAAATATATATTATTCTGAAATGGACCAATCAGCACAATCACTACTTTTGAGGAACATTTTGAATGCAGGACTTTTACTGTAACAGAGTATTCCTACACTCTGGTACTTCTACTTTTACTGAAGTACAAGACCTGAGTACTTCTACTTTTACTAAAGTACAAGATCTGAGTGCTTCTACTTTTACTCAAGTACAAGATCTGAGTACTTCTACTTTTACTCAAGTACAAGATATATACTTATACCACCTCCGTTTATAGCCTATGAAAAAAGCTATTTGAAAACGAAGGCTAAAGCTAACGTTAGCAGATAGTGACAATGTATGCTAGTTAGCTAGCTCAACGATTCCTTAAATAATATTGCGACAGAAAAACTTTTCAGTGCACATCACGCTCTGCCGCTCCGACAGGCCCGTTCTAACAGCTGTTCACCAGCGGTCCAGTCTGTGCCACAGTGACTCCGGACCGCACAGTTAATATTAACGAATGCACCGTAGCCTAGGTAATGTAGCTGCTGAAGCTAGACCCTCATCCCGGAGCAACAGAGCCTTATTATACATCCATGAGCAGAGCCGACAGGCAGGAAGACTCAAGCACACAGCTCGCGCTTCATTATAATATATAAAAAAAGAACACCATGCGTGTCATGATGGCACATAACAGCTCGCGGCCGCAGATTACTCCGGGTCCAAGACCCCCCCCCCATACCCCAAAAATATTTTTATTGCAGATCTACATGAATCACACAAACGACCTATTTTGGATTCAAAACGGCGAATTTCGCCGAAAGGTGACAAGTTTGCATCCCTGGTATATACAAATAAGGCGGGACACACAGTTCAAAGGCCCAAGTGATGGTCTTGTATCCAAGCATCAAGCAAAGTATCAGAAACTATACACCCATATCATTATTAGATGTTAATTATGCCCAGTCCCAAAGCCACCACTGTGTATTTGTATCCAACTGGAATTCCTTTACATCTCACAATAAGTCAGTAAACACACATATTTTCAAATATCAAAACCTTTCCATGACTGAAAGTTATATTTTCAATTACCATTTCCTTACGGGGGGAGAGTGAGTGGATTGGATTGAAAAGGCATAGTTTAGAGACAAATTCTGAGATTAACCCTCAGTCCACCAGGAAATGTCCCAATTCTTTAGATGCCCAGTCTCATCTGTCTCTGGACCTGGGAACTAATTTGTACCCGGTCGACAGTTCCCCAGGTGAAGCCTGAGCACCCCTTGACTGTGAAGCTGCAACAACAGGTTAAACTCAGTAGACATGGAATGCATTCCCCATTTACCTGTTATATCATCGAAATAGTGGTTTTTCACGGCATTGAGTTCAAATGGATGAATACTGAAGGGCCAGAAACCGTACAGATGCACGTTGGCACAGTTTTCCAGCGCTATGTTAACCATCACTAAGCCGGTGCTGGGTAGGCCTCTGTGTAGGCCTCTGGAGCGCCAGAAGTTGCTCAGTCTCCGGAAGTAATCAGGGTTGAAGTAGGTGGGCCGAATTGGACTTTCAATGTCCCTAATGCTGTATGCAGCCTTCAGGCACAAAGGAGTACAAAAGCCAAAGGCAAAGGCAGGTAGAAGCAGCTGGGACTTGCCGTAGATATGTAGACTCTCCACAAATGGACGTCTAGGCCCGTCTAAGGACCCATACCTGAAAATAGAAAGCATGTTTGGCAACAAAACTAAAATAAATGTTATGGTACAGTGAGACTCATTTTCTTGCTCACTTTCTAACGAGGATGGTCGGATTTGCTGTCACAATGTCAGTCTTGGTGCCCACATGTTTCTCATAGCCTTTTCCCAAAGAAGGTAGGTTGCACCTGAAAAGCATAACGGACGAATCAGACATTTTTATTGGGAATTTCATGGTCTTTTTAATTCTTTAAGTTTAATTCTTTAGATGGATGTCGCCTTCAGCCTTTCAGTCCACTAATCTTGACAGCTTTCTCACCTGATAACAAACTGAGCGGAATCGATCATCTCTCCACAGCTGCTGTTTGACAGAATCCCTGAGTTCCCAACAACAGCACACGTGTCCCATTTTTTCTTTGGAAATGGATTCTCCTGGAAATAAAACCAATGAAGAAATGTATTACAGAACAATAACATGCATATGATTATATAATGTTTGTAAATGAGCAGGAGCCATGGGGCTCTTTGACTGGATCTTGTTTGCAAATCCCCTACAACAGTTCTAACATGTGTTAACATGTGTGAGTATTTATTTAATGTACACTTGAGGTCTTTGAGATGCGTTATTGATTTCCTACATTCTTTTACGATTTTAAACGTACTGAAACAGCGCACAATTCTCCAAAATGACTGACTATAGTGTATCTGAGATCAAAATAAGAGCGTTTAAAGCTGCAGTTTGAGCTAGGGCGCAGGTCGTGGCCATTGGGCCCAACTTTACGCCCCTTGGCCCGATTTGGCATCTCAGCTGATCTCACACAGTGAAATGTAGCCTCTGTATTTAAAGGGGACCTATCATGCAAAATGCACTTTTGTACGTCTTTTATACATGAATATGTGTCCCTGGTGTTCCAGGGAACTCACCAAGTGTCAGAAAACACAACCCTCTCTATTTTCCTCCATACCCAAATCTCGAAAAAAGGGGCTGCAACGGATCTGATAAAAACTGATCCAGATTTGAACACTTTCCTGACGTCAGGACAGTGGCGCTACGGCTATTGGGCCAACTCCACCAATCAGGAGGAGACAGCCACGGCCATTGCCGTTCGAAAGCGCTGGAGACGCTGTAGTACATATGCCAGGCCTGTAGATGGTGCTGTTGCTCACAGAATCAACCCTTGCAAACAGAGCTAACATTTTTCAAATTGAGCGAAATGAGGCATGGCTAAAATGCATGATCTGTTTGGTATTTTGAAAAAAAAAAAGTATAAATATGCCTTATATAGGTATGGTCCTACACTATATTATTCAAATATAGCATGATAGGTCCACTTTAAACCATCCCAGTATCAGGAGCAGTGGGTTGTATCCTGGAACCTGAAATTTACTCTGAATCTGTGACTGTTTTTTTCGGAACTATTCCAGTTAGTCCTGACAAAGTTGTTGTCTCCATGGATCAGACAGTTGATATCAAAATGAATGCAAACTAGTAGACTGATGTTGTCATAGAAAGGGTACTGGATGCTCTTTTTTCTGGTGTGAAGCCGGTTACAAATTCGAGAATGAATGAAAATCAAAAACCGAGTCAGTACCAATTTTCTAAAAACTAGAATTATTTCACATTTACAAATCAGCAATTATATCATTAAAAGCAGGTCATACTGTGTATTGAAATAAGATTGTAGTTTTTTTTTTGAGCATTCGTCAGATTAAGAGGTCCTCACTTCAAATCTCAGTTTTTGTATAGAAAATCATAATTATGTGTGTGTGCGTGAGTGTGTGTGTGCATGTGTGTGTGTGTGTTTGTGAAAGGGTGGTCATAGGTGGTCGTTTGTATCAACCAGTCACCATGTAACTAAACACATAATTTATAATCTCTGAGCCCTTTAAGGAACAATAAAGACAACAAGCAGAAGATGATGTGATACTATCCATGAATGAAAAACTACATACCTTTATGAAGGTGCTGAAAATCCCTGGAGTCACCACGAGGGTCCTCTTGCCTTCCGCAGAGTACACAATATTTGATCCCACTGGAGTGTTGGCCTGGGTAATGATGGCCCTGTCAAATCCCTGGCACTGACTTCTCAGCTGAGAACTGGGGTAACACAAGGACTTTGTTAAAACACATCCAAGTCAGGAGTTTTGTTGAACTGAAAGCTTTATAATTTGCCAAACACAGTAAGTGGCAATTTGTTCAGATTATATATAAAACATATCTTCTTTCTTATAAGGATTTTTATTCCGTAATCATCATGGTGAGTTAAAGTTATCTTCAGGTGAAGTCCCTCTGTTTTACTCTCTGACTTGTGCTATACATTTGTTAAGATTTTTGATTACATAAGAAAACTACGGTGGCTGAGAGGTGCAATCGACAATTACAGAGTGCGAAACACTTTAACAAAGCTTGAGACAAATTTACATTTTATAAAACAAATTTCATTAACAAAACACTTTTACCAAAGAAAAAACGATTTAACATTAACAAAAACAAATTAACAAGATGCGTAACACTTTTACAAAGCTAGAGACAAATTTACATTTGCCGAAACACTTTAATAAACTAGAGAATCAAACCGGAAAGGGAATGCCCATCATACCAGAAGTGACGTGCAAGTGATTGACACAAACTTAAGTTTGTTTTGGCGGATAGACCGCTGGTACCTATGGACGGTACAAGTGTGTTTATGGTCGTTAAACATGTTTTGTCCGTTCTGTGGAAACCACCTGGGCCAAGTGACATGGTTTTGCTCATCACGATATACTTTCTTGTGCGCAAGAGATACGTTCTTGTGCTCACAAGAAAGTTACAGGTTCGCCAAGTAGGAAGTGGAGCTGTGCCTTTTACTCACAGCCTTCGCTGTGTTTACCTTCATTAGACAGCTAAAGAGCGACTGCAGGCTGCTTCGTTAAAGCCACACACACCTCTACACACACACACACACCTCTACACACACACACACACACACACTTCTACACACACATACACCTCGACACACATCGAACTGCCCGATTATTCCCCCTATTACTCGTTTTATGAAGGAGATGTCCGGTCCACAAGGCGCATGACGTGTGTGTTTGTGCTGTGCTCAGCTCCGCTCTGTGTGTGTTCGGTGTTTTTGTGTGTGTCCAACACCGGCATTTGTTTTCAAATGACCATGAACAGTAATTTACACACATCTGGCCAACTCCATAGGTATATGTGTGTGTTCCCAAATGAAATAAATGTGTTTAATCTTAATCTCGATGTAGTCCTCAGTGCTGTCGGAGTGCAGTGGAACACTGCAGTCAACTCAGCCGTCTCTCGCGTTTGCTTGGTCAAATCAGCAGCTCTTCATTTGTGCGTGCACGATTAATCGCGCCTTTACGATAATCGACGAGAAGCGGGACTGACGCAAGTACAAGAGTAAAATAATGCATGTTTTTGTGCTATATTTGCGATAAAAATATGTTTTACCATAAGTTCTTAATAAAACTGACACTGTTGGACTCAGTAGTTTGACTGCTACCAACAATAAAATGAATTACTTTTACTGTGTACTTTTTCAGTTATTCTCTGTCAAACTCCCCTCCTGAGAACAAATTCAAGCCACTTCTGCTATATTTGATGAGGGATAAAATAATTTTTAGCCATAAGTTGTTAATAAAATTGGTATATTTACGTGTTTAGCTACTTAGCTCCACATGTGATGATGTACGCTTTCGTTTATAGCGTCGCGAATGTTTATCACTGAGTGTTGAGGAGGGCACCGTTAGATTCAGTGTCTCCAGGACACCAAAAAAGAGTGTTTGGTTGTGCATCTAGGATAAGTAATAAGGGAGTTCTGAGTGAGTTTATGTGCCTTTGTAGGTTACGTTTTTTCGTCGAGGCTAATTCAGAGGCTGAGTGCTAGCATTGTGGGTTTTATTTGAAAAAAAAAATTAAAAAGATCAGTTAGCTGAGTTTCTTCCCGTTACATGGATATAACACATTCATAGTTTTATTCAATATTAAGATTCCTTAGACGTTGTTTCCTGCAAATGACGCGTTTATCCGCCCGGTACTGGGCGGAAGGTGCGTAACAGGTTAATGAGAGTCTGATCCTCGACAAATCTTGATGGGATCCAGGAGCGTTCTTCTGGTCCATATAGACCAGGCCGCCGTCGAGCATTCGGGGGGGAGGAGGGGGTTTGGCTGCGGGAACCATGGGGCTTTCCTTTACCGGCTTCAGTCGTCCCACATGGAAAGTGGGATGAACCCTCAGAGACCTGGGTAGACGAAGACGGACAGAGACCGGGTTAATGACTTTGGTCACTGGGAATGGGCCTACGAACCTAGGTGCCAATTTTCGTGACACCACATGAAGGGGAAGATCCCTGGTAGAGAGCCAGACCCTCTGGCCGGGTCTGTATTCCGGAGCAGGACGACGCTTCCGATCTGCCGCCACCTTCATGCGTTCCCCACTCCTAAGAAGAGCCCTGCGGGTGGCGGACCAGATCCGGTGACAACGCCGAACCAGGGCGTGGGCGGACGGGACTGTGACTTCCTTCTCGAGATCCGGGAAGGTAGGAGGTTGATACCCATAGGCAGCCTGGAAGGGAGTCAACCCAGTAGGGGCCGTGGGGAGCGTATTGTGGGCGTACTCTACCCATGTGAGATGCCTGCTCCAGGAGGAAGGATTCTGGGAGATGAGGCAGCGGAGCCCAGTTTCTAATTCCTGATTAAGGCGTTCGGTCTGGCCATTGGACTCCGGATGGTACCCGGATGACAGGCTCACCGACGCCCCGATGAGGTTGCAGAACTCCCTCCAGAAGCGTGAGATGAACTGCGGACCCCGGTCTGAGACAATATCTTTGGGGAAAACCATGGATACGGAACACATGCGTCATCATGATCTCTGCCGTCTCTTTGGCAGACGGCAGCTTGGGTAAGGCAATATAATGAACCATCTTAGAAAAACGGTCCACCACCGTGAGTACGGTGGAGTTACCTTCTGACACCGGGAGCCCCGTGACGAAATCCACGGAAATCTCAGACCAGGGCCGGCTGGGAACCGGGAGCGGCCGGAGCAGCCCCATCTGTGCCCTGGAGGATGTCTTGTTGCGGGCGCAGACAGGACAGGCCTCCACATACTCTCGGACCTCACGCTCCATGGATCTCCACCAAAAACGTTGCTTGATAAAGAATATGGTCCTCTTGATCCCAGGATGGCAGGTGAGCAGTGATGAGTGAGCCCAATGGACGACCTGTGGACGTACAGTAACAGGCACAAACAGACGGTTTGGCGGACAACCACTAGGTGCCGGGCTCTCACCGTTAGCTTGCTTAACCACAGATTCTATTTGCCAAGTGACCGCCCCTACCACACGGTTCAGTGGCAGGATGGATTCAGGCTTCTTGGCAACCGGCTCGGGGTCAAACAAACGGGACAGGGCATCCGGCTTGGCGTTCTGGGACCCCGGCCTGTAAGACAGAGTGAAGTTAAAACGGTTAAAAAACAGAGACCATCTTGATTGGCGAGAATTTAGTCTTTTAGCCTTCCTAATGTACTCAAGATTCTTGTGGTCGGTCCATACTATAAAAGGAAGCTGAGCCCCCTCCAACCAATGTCTCCATTCCTCCAGAGCAATCTTTACCGCCAACAACTCACGGTTCCCCACGTCGTAGTTCCGCTCTGCAGAAGAGAGTTTCTTGGAGAGAAAGGCGCAGGGATGAAGTTTGTTGTCTTCCTTGGACTGCTGTGACAGGACAGCCCCCACCCCTTCATTTGAGGCATCAACCTCCACCACAAACTGACGAGTTGGGTCGGGGATGATGAGGATGGGGGCTGAGGTGAACCTCTCCTTGAGACGGCGGAAAGCCTCCTCGGCCTGAGGAGACCACACAAAAGGCACCTGAGGGGACGTGAGAACATGAAGGGGAGAAGCAATGGCACTGAAACTTCTGATGAAGCGCCTGTAGAAGTTCGCAAAGCCCAGAAAACGTTGCACCCCCTTGCGGTTGTCTGGCGTAGGCCACTTAGCCACCGCACTGAGTTTGGCCGGGTCCATCTGGATCAGACCAGGAGCTATGATAAACCCTAGGAAGGATACAGTTTTAGCATGAAACTCACATTTCTCTGCCTTCACATACAGTTTGTTCTCCAGGAGTTTTTGGAGGACCTGACGTACATGGTGAACATGAGAGTCTTTGTCAGGTGAGTATATTAAAATATCGTCAAGATATACAAACACAAAACGGTTTAAAAACTCCCTTCAAACATCGTTGATGAGAGCTTGAAAAACTCCTGGAGCATTGGTGAGACCAAATGGCATGACGAGATACTCATAGTGCCCTGTGGGTGTGTTAAAACCGGTCTTCCACTCATCCCCCTCACGAATTCTCACCAGATGGTAGGCATTACGGAAGTCTAACTTGGTAAAAATGTTAGAGTCTTGAAGTTGTTCAAAAGCAGTAGCCATGAGGGGGAGCGGATACCTGTTCTTTACTGTAATGTCATTTAAAGGAGAATAATCAATGCATGGCCTAAGGGATCCGTCCTTTTTTCCCACAAAGAAAAAACCCGCCCCAGCCGGGGAGGAAGACGGGCGGATCAGACCTGCACGAAGAGAGGTGTCAATGTACTCCTTCATAGCCTCCTTCTCAGGACCCGAGATGGAGTATAACCTACCCTTCGGAATTGGAGCCCCAGGTAACAGATTGATGGCACAATCATACGGCCTATGAGGAGGAAGGGAGGTGGCGCGCACTTTACAAAATACCTTGGCCAGGTCATTGTAACAGGGAGGAACAGAAGTTAAATCTGGGGTTTGAGTATTAGTAACCCGATCGGTACTACGTTCCCCAGAAACCCCTCCAACTGCCATGTTTCCCAAACACTTAAAACAATCCTGTGAACACTCCTGCCCCCACCCCTTAATTTTACCTGACCGCCAATCAACATAGGGGTTATGCTTGGTTAGCCAGGGAAAACCTAGGATGAGAGGATGTTGAGCAGAATTAAACAAGTGAAACGACATGAGTTCACAATGATCATCAATCATGATAGTGACAGATTCGGTCTTGTGTGTGACATGAAATAGAAGTTTGCCATCCAGAGCACTGGCTTTCAAAGGGGA